TTATTTTCTCACCACCTTGGGCAATACAACCTCTACGCCACCAGCTCGGATGATAGACTATGAAAATCTGGGAGGCAGAGACAAAAGACATGCACTCCATCAGTACCGATGTACAAAGAGATCCTCAGAGGTCAAGATGATCTAGGACTGGCCACAGGAAGAGCATCACTGAACTCCACATCTATTTAGACAATACTGCCCACCCTGCAGATGAGGCAAATAAAGCTACTGTGGAAAAACCATCATTCACTTTTTATTAATTTTGTATGTCAGAAAATCTATATTAATAGGTAGTGTTACATGTTAGATGGAAAGATTCATTTAACTTAAACACTTGATTCACTTTTAAATGTAAAAAATATCACAAACTAAGATTTAGGCAGTTAGCCAATTGCTGAACATTAGCTGTGTCAGTCTCTTTCTGAATAATGTTATCTGCTCTTCCAAAGAGAATTTAAGATAGGTATTTAGAGACAGGAAATTCTTAATTCTAGACAAGTTCAGTCAAAGAATTTAGGGAGTGTCTAGCGCAAAGAACAAGCCAGGTATGATGGCCAGGGGTGGCTTGCAGGGTTCATGATTTGAGACATTCCACAGTCAGTATCACATTTTAAGTTATTATCAGCATATTTAACACAGTATCTGTATATTTATATTGCTTATTTATTTGGTACAATTTTAATCTGCTTTGACTGATTCCTGTAGTTTTGATTCCATTCATTGTGATTCAATGTCTCATTTTAAAATAAAAATATGTTTCTTCTCTCTTAAAAAAAAACAAATCATTATTGTAAGGGAATTGTATGGAGGAGTTATAATTTCATAAGTTAGGTAATGAGAACAATTCTTTTCGGACAATGTCAGCCCTTTCTTCACTTTTCCCGTTTCACCCTGCCATCCCTGCTCACAAGTTTTTTACATAGTGTATATTGAATTCCATGGCTGTCTTTGTTCACCCTTTCTCCTTCCATTCCTGTACCCTCCATCTGCACCCCCTCCCAAAAGGCAACAACAATAAATTCAAAACAAAAATAACAAAACCCATATTTCAGTTTTCTAGTATTTCTAGCTTTTTGGTAGCTTTGGAGATAGAGTCTCATGGACTTTCTTTCCATGACTGGCTTTGAACTGTGATCCTCAGATCTGATTTTTTTTTTAAGTATATATTTTCTTATTGTAAAGATACTGTACAGAGGGGTTACAGTTAAGTGAGTAAGGTAATAACTACATTTCCTATCAAGTATTGTTACTCCTCATTTGTTTTTCCCCTGCCATCCCAGATCTTATTTTTCTGAGCAACTAGGTTTATAGATATGAGTGTGGTGCCCAGCTCTCACTTGCCTTTTGCTTGACATTTTGCTCAAAGCTGAAGCTCTACCACTTGAGCCACACCTCCTGTCCTGCCTTTTTGCTAGTTAGTTGGAGATAAGAACCTCTTGGACTTTACTCTTGGGTTGGTTTGAACCTCAATTTTCAGATCTCCACCTCCTGAATAACTAGGATTACAGGTACAAGTTACCAATGTCTGAATTTGACTGACTCTTACGCAACTTTATCAATGAAGAGAAATGAGATTATTCATTTTAATGCAGTAATGCTTTTAAGTACAGAAATGAACTAAAATGTATATCGTGTCTTAGAAGCAGCATATGAAATTAAAATATCACAAATATAACTAGTATTTGTGAGCTTCATAGAAATTGCTGTGATCTGTTGTTGATTAAATTCAATGTATTGAATACAGACTAAAAGTTTATAAGTTTTCTTATACTATTAAGTGCAGTGGATTGATGAAAATGAAGAAGAAATTGATATAGCATGTGACTCCCTATGTATATTTACACAGAAAGTGATGGAAAAATCCTAATTAAAAAGCTATTGGCAGGGGCTGGGAAGGTGGCTCAGTGTTAAAGTGCTTGCCTTGCATGCCTGAGGCCCTGGGTTCGATTTCCTCAGCACCACATAAGAAAAAAGCTGGCAGTGGTGCTGTGGCTCAAGTGGTAGAGTGCTAGCCTTGAGCTGAAGAGCTGAGGAACAGCGCCCAGGCCCAGAGTTCAGGCCCCACAACTGACAAAAAAAAGAAATGTAAAAAATTGCTGGAAAGGTGGCTCAGTGGTAGAGCGCTTGCCTTGCATGCATGAGGCCCTAGGTTCGATTCCTCAGCACCATGTAAGCAGAAAAAGCCAGAAGTGGCGCTGTGGCTCAAGTGGTAGAGCGCTAGCCTTGAGCTGAAGAGCTGAGGGACAGCGCCTAGGCCCAGAGTTCAGGCCCCAAAACCCGACCCCCTCCCCCCAAAAAATAAAGCTATTGGCAGAGCCCCTGAGTTCAAGGCCTTGAACCACCATAAAAACCCACCAAAACCCAAAACAAGACGTTGGTTACATTCTCTGACTGCTTCGCAGGATGTGGAGTGAGTGTGTTATCATACGGAACTGTTCAGTGATAGCTGTAGTCACCTGTTGCTGTTAAATGAGGCTGCAGTTGTTTCAGCTAGGCTATTTATGAACGACATCACCAAAAGTAATGATGGTATTTTATGTGTAAATATGAGCACCTGTTCGTTGGGCCTTTCAGAGGCAAGCAACATTCTGATGCTATGAAACAAAGACAGTACAGTTTGGGGACCTGACTCAAGGATTTGAACTAAGATGAATAAAAAAGTTAGTTACTGTGTAATGGCACAAATGCTTTATATCCCTCCCTCTCTCTTTCCCAGAGAGTAGAGATAGGCTAAAAGAGAAAGGGGAGATAAATAGATACTCAGACAACTTAATTTTCTTTCACATTTTTAGCTTTTGTGAAGAAAATTGAGACTCATTGCTGCAGTGAAGTGTGTAGATTTTTAAATGTGCCACTGACCATATAGTAGGTATTCATCTATTTAATGACCTTGAAGGTAATACATTCAAATGATCTGTTTGAGGATTTTAACAAAGAGTTAAATTCTCTTAATTAGACACTTGTCCTTTTACATCCTTGGTTAGTGACTAGGCATTTTTTTTCCTCTTTTGAGACTCTTGCAAATGGTGTTGCTTTTCTGATTTTCAGTCTCAATTTGCTTATTGTTGGCATACAGGAAAGCTACTAATTGTTGTGGGTTGATTTTACACCTTGCTACTTTATCAAAGTTTTCAATCAGCTCTGGTAGCTTCAGGGAGGAGTCTGGAAGGTCCTTTAAGTACAAGATAATGCCATCTACAAAATGGGGTAGTTTTACTTCTTCCTTCCCTATTTGAATCCCTTTTATGTCTTGCTCCTGCCTTATTGTTCTTGCTAAGAATTCTAGTCCTGCCTGGCGCTGGTGACTCACGCCTGTAATCCTAGCTACTCAGGAGGCTGAGATCTGAGGATCGCGGTTCAAAGCCAGCCCGGCAGGAGAGACCGTGAGACTCCTATCTCTAATAAACCACCAGAAAACCAGAAGTGGCACTGTAGCTCAAGTGGTAGAGCGCTCGCCTTGAGCTGAAGAGCTGAGGGACAGCGCCCAGGCCCAGAGTTCAAGCCCCACGATCGACAAAAAAAAAAAAAAAAAAATTCTAGTTCTATGTTGAAGAGGAATGGAGAGTGTGGACATCTGTGTTTTGTTTTGGATTTTAGAGGAAATGGTTTTAGCTTTTTATCAATAAGTATAATGTGGGCTATCGGTTTGTCATAAACAGCCTTTATTATGTCGAGAAATGTTCCATGTATTCCTAGATTCTCTAGAGCTTTTTTAATGTATCCTGTCAGAAGCATTTTCTGTATCTTTTGAGTTGGTTATATGATTCCTGTCCTTCCGTTGATGTGTTCTATTACATTTATCAATTTCCATATGGTAAACCAGCATTGCATCCCTGGGATGAATCCCATTTGATCATAGTTTATGATTTTTTTTTGGGGGGGAGGCTAAGTTGTTGAATTTTATTGAGAAGTTTTATATCTATGTTTATCAAAGGGATAGGTATATAGTTCTCTTTTTTTTGATGGGTCTGTATCTGATTTTGAGATGAGTGTAATGCTGGCTTCGTAGAATGAGTTTGGCAGTGATCCCTCCTTTTCTGTTTCATTGAAGAGTTTAAGAAATGTTGTTAGTTCTTTTTTTTTTTTTTTTTGAAGGGCTTATAGATTTGGCTGTAAACCATCAGGTCCTAGGCTTTTCTTGGATGGGAGGTCATTTATTGCCATTTCGTTTCTTTCCTTGTAATGGGTCTATTTTAATTGGTTTATATCTTCTTGGCTCAGTTTAGATATAAACTAATAAGTAAATACATTGGGTGATATTCAAGTGTATACAAATACAGTAACCAAAATATGGTAGAATCAAGGGAGAACTCAAATAATTTAATTCCTTAGAAAGACATAGTCAAAGCTCAACAAAATGAACACTTGGACATGAGTACTTGAAAGGGGTGGGATTGGGGCTGGGGGAATGGAATAGACAAATGAAGAGGAAGAGGGGAGAGCACAGTCAAGAATTCAAAATTGAAGAGAAGTGACGGGAGGGGAAGAGGTGAAGGCTGACATGGGTCAAGATCCACTGGATTTATAAATTGCTTTGTTAAATGGCAACTCTCTTGTACAATTTCTTAAAGATGATTGTTTTTAATGTATGAAAAAAAACAAACCTGCCCTATAAACTCTTATTACCATATATTTAAAAGAAAATCTTTAGTTGTATGTTGCTGACAAGATAAGTAGAAAAAAATTAAAATTAACTTTAATTCAAATTGGTACCATACCAAGCAGTGAACTTATTTATAGTCTCTTAGATATTTTTGTATTTTTTTTTCTTTATGTGCTACTGAGGAATCGAACCCAGGGCCTCAGGCATGCAAGGCAAGCGCTCTACCACTGAGCCACCTTCCCAGCCCTATTTTTGTATTTTTAACTGGTCCTTTATTTGCAGGTTCTATTCGTTTTTACCAGTATGTGCAAATAGTCTTTAAACCTTCTAGCCCCTACATTTGAACATTCCTTCTCAAGCCTTTGTAAGGAGATTCCTTTTCTTTATCCCCTTCTAG